TCCTTTTTATATTTATTTGTAGCTTTGAGCTGACAATGAACATTTGAGCTTTTCTTGTAAATTCCATCACTTTGCAAAGAAATGTCATGTAGAGCTGAGCAATGTCTCATTTTGATCAGAATTTCGCGTGTTACAATTTTAACTTATTAAGAAAAGTTTTGGAGAGTCTTTGGAGTTTCTGGAAAACTGGTTTTCTAGAAATCCAGTCTTTGGAGGCCTAGCGGCCCAAACCATTGTCATATTCGGATTCAGCACATTTTTTTACCTATTACCCACTAGCTTAGAGCTTAAAAACGAGGTGGCAGTTGGTGACCTTCCCTCGTGAGTGCTAGGCATGCACCAATCCGGTAACTCCGTCATCAAGCCGGCTAGGTCATAAAGCAGCTCGGTGTCGATCATGTCCAGGAGAAGGTTGCAAAATTTCCTGTGATTTTGTATGCCATGTTCGAGCTAGAAATCATATAATGTTTGAAAATAAAATTAATTTTTCTGTATATCCTTTATATGAATATACTTCAAAGTTTGCACACAGATGCTAGCAGACGTAGGCTATATATGTAATTAAAACCAAATTGATCTATTGTAGCTTTGCAGAGAAAAATAAATTTTACTCTCAATCATTACGTGATTTATAGTGAGTTTTCATGATCCAGCTTACCAGAGAAATCCCTGAGGTGTCATTTTTTTAATATTTCTCGACTACTACATGGAATGGGTTTGTAATTTGTTCAACACATCCTTAAGATGTATTCGCTTCTATATACAAAGTTTCATAGAAAACTAATTATGTTTAAGTTTATTTTAAGATTAATATAGGTCCTTTTATTAAAATTAATTAAATTTTAACAAAAATTATCAACCTAATATAAGTTTATAACTAAAATTTTATTTAAAACAGGTAGTTTCAAAAAGGGAGTGACCCATGTTCTCTAAAAATATTGATTTTTTACTAATGCTAAAGATGTCCGATAGCTGGTTTAGTGATTTCACATTCTCACGCTACCCTCGACAAGAAGAAAGTAAAACAAAATAAAATAGGGGCTATAGAGGCCATCTCCATTGCAACCTGCTACTGAACATAATCGGTACCCAGATGCTTGATGATCGAGCCGACTTGGTGCCTCTCACTAAGCTTTACCTTTGGATTGATGCATGCCTAGTGAGTGCTGTCTTGTTGTATCAATAATTCAATGAAAACATAAACTACATGCGTTTCTTACTTTCTTGTCTTGTCTATCTATAATCTATATATAAGCGTACAGAAGAAAACATTAAAAAGAAAGCAAAATGACATCAAACAAGAAATCGAGAAAAGAAGAAATTTTATATTTTTTAGCAAATTTTCACTGCACTTACTATGAAACTACTCCAGGTTCTGTCAACTTCACTAGAATGTACTCCTCTCTGATTTTCATGTCAGTTTGAAGTACCTAAGTTGTACTATCTGCCGAACTATATTCTAGAAAAAGGTATATTTTACTTTTTCAAATAAAAGGCTGTCAATATCACAGCTAAGCATAAGGAAAATATGTACTTTTTATTGCCATTGTAAATAGGCGGAACTAAAAAGAAAGGAATTCAGAAGAGACTGATCGATATACTATCATTATCACACGAGAAGTCTATCGACAAAAATTCTGTTTTTTTTAAAAAATTTGTACTCGAGTACATGCTCGAGCAAAACTGTTTTGTACTCGTACTCATACTCGAACAACTGTGTACTCGACCACCTCTGGTGATTTCCCTAGCTAAAAAGTTGAAAAAAGAGTTTTTGCCTCGGTGTTTTCTCGAATTATTATAGTGTGGCTCAGCCATTTTTTTCGAACTAGTGGAGTTGGCTCAATGATCGAAAAATCCTAGTTACGCCACTGACATCAATTGTGTCCTAAAATTGTGTCCGATAGAATGTATCCTGTCACGTGACGAATTATTATGTTCCATTTTCTTTCCGTTCATCTCTGTGTTTCACAATAGTAAATCTGTGTGGTAAGCTTAAAACTTTGTCTGGAAATTTGAAAACTTTTTCGATATAATTTATTGAGACTCAACTTTTCATTCATCGTCGCTGCAATAGAAATATTTTTTTCAACCATTAAATCTCTTAACTTCAAGCCGCTTATACGGATCTTAGATAGGAACTGTACACAGGGAAGAGATGTCTACTGAGAGAATATACTCATATGACTTTTTAATGTATCCGATCCTTCATATCCTAGTACTTCTTTCACTTCAACGCCTATCAGCTTAGAAGAAAATTTTCAATGTTGTTCGAGTCATCATGTTTCTCATTGTTAGCCTTGCTTTCTTTTCTTGTACCTTTTTTATATTCCTTACAGATGGCTTCAAGTAATATTGAAAACAGTACACATTCAAATAATAAACGTTACAGTTTATCAGAAAAACAACTCTTACTTGTTTGGCTTGATCTGAATGCTAATACGGAGGCAAATATGGAAATACAACGGAATTTATTACGGAATTTATCTAATATAACACTAAAAGTGTTTGAAAAACAACGTCAATGTGAACTGTTTATGGAAGAGAAATATAATGAGAGTATCATATTAATAACGTCTGGAAGCCTTGGTCGTGAAATGATTCCTCGTTTACATGGCTTGAAACAATTACATGAAGCCTACATCTTTTGTTATGATCGAAGTGCAAATGAGAAATGGGCAAAAGATTATTCAAAGGTATTTCAGCCAATACTTAGATTTATTTTTTGATTTTCTTAGTTCGTCCTAACCTAACAATGTTAAACGGTATAGATTGTGACATTATTTTAATTTTTAGTTGCATTCTAACACTGCTTTTATCTATACAATTTAGATACAACGCGTTGTTACAACACCAGATGAACTTCTTCAACACTTAAGTACTTCTGTTTCTAATTATCATGGAACTAAACCAAGAAAGTAAGTTCATATTTATAAAAGAATATCTTAACAATAATTGTTTAAGAGATTCCTCCTAACTGCAAAAGTGCGTGATGAGAAAAGGATTGGCATATGCGAATTATGGTTTAGTCTATCGATGTGTTTATAAAAGTGTAGAAAGAGTTCTTCTATCTCGACTTTTCGTCAAGCTGGTATGCCGCTCTTAGTTATATTTCTAAAAGAATGCAATTCTGATCAAATGTAAGTGTTGAGCGTCCTTGTAAATCACTTACGTGTAAAGAAATACCCTGCGAAACTGAAACTTGGTTATTTCTCTAAACGACAACTAATAAAACTTAATGGAATCCGGCCTACCATTTCTAGCATTATACACTACACGGCGACAAAAAGTCCGTGTTATAAAGCATGAAATTAAAAGTTATAGCAAAAACGTTCAAAAAGTTGTATAGTAGAAAAATTGACGAGAGAAAGTATGAGTTTCAAGTTGTAAAGAAAAATTGTAAAATAAAATACACGACTTTGAACAAGCAGCCGTGCGGAAAACGTGGGGACTGATATGTATAGAAGAAAAATGAGAAAAAAAATCGTGCATAGAACTCATTCATCCTTTTGCTGTCCATCATAGACGACAGCAGTTTAAACACAAATTCAGAAGTTTTCTGCAATCGTTTCTCTCTACCTTTGATAAATAGGTAGACTTAACAAAAATATAGTCATCCTGATGGTCAGTTTCGTGATCTATGACACGTCTGTAGCGACGGTATAGTTCAACTGATCGAAAACATTTTGCGAGTTACGTATTCTGTTTAGAAAGACTAGAGACTAAGTACGTGTGTAACCATTTTCCATCACAATATTTACAGTATTGCGAAAAATGAAACAATCAGATGAACATTGCCTATTACTATTCATTTCTTGTACTTCTGAAAAGCTCAGACAAGAGAAAGATCACGTGCATTATGAGAGAGGTTGAAAAAGTTTTTCTATTGTTTAAGAACTGTACTTTTTGTCAATAATCTCTCTGTCTCTTCCTCAGCTTCTTACTTCTTTTTATTACCATCAAATTTACTTAATATGCACTGATCAATAGCTTGAACGAGAAGCACATTGACACATTGATCATACTCAGTTTCTCATACGCTTCCACTCACGGTGTCAGAACTTGTATTAAGTCATCCGTCAAAGAAAAGACGGAGTGGTCCTATGATTTTTCACAATGAAAAAAATTCGTTAGTTTCATTTTAAAAACTTTTCTTCAAGAAAAACGCAGGCTAACAGAATGTCAATGACAGGATTAGAAAAAGCGCACTCTAATCCATATATACACATTATGAGAGAGGTTGAACAATCGACTTTTTTTGCGCCAGACGGATCGAGCTGAAATTTTGGGAAATGAATCGTGACTATTACTTATTCATTTTCTGAAAGGTTTATCTTTACACATATAATGGTTTCAAAGATAATTACTTTTATAGTTGGCGCTAAGTGAGTAGCAGTTATTCTCGTTGAACGTAGCACTTTTGAACTGGAGCAATTTTTTTGAAGAGAACGCAGTGTCTTGAACTTAATTTCAATTACATGGCTAAAAAGCACAGCTTATTTCCAGCTTCTTGCCGCTAACCGCAGCTCTATAAATCAAATCGTTATTGAGATAGTCAGTTGTTAAAAGAGATTGACGTTTTTTTTGCGATGAATCAGGATCAATTACTTGCTGTTGCTGAGGTTGTTATTTTTTAATGATTCAACTTGAATTCAAGAAAATTTCAGTAGAAATATCAGGCTACAAAACAATGCAGCTCCGACTTCTAGGAGTCATAACCAAGCTACAGGTGTCGCTTCTGTGCGTAACCAGCACGTTAAGTCTCATACGTTTATGGTACATACTACCAGACTTGTTCTACAAAATAGTGGAAAAACAAATTTGGCTTTAGATAAGGAACGAGAGATGTTTTACGATTTTTCCACTGTGACGGTACTAAAATGAAAACATTATAGCGCTATAGAGTTTTCATCTTAGTATAGAATCGTATTTTCTGAAACAACCGTCTTTTGCAATTTCCTTTACTTAGACAACAAAACAAGATTGCCGTAGTAATCAACATTTCGATAGCCTATGTACCATGCGTTTTTGAGGTTTCAAGAGCTCAGGTTTGGTCAGGAGGTAGATCCTCGGAGATTATCTGTAGTGTCCGAATTATGATAGATGAAAGTGTGAGGCTTGCGCCAGGTTGTACAGTGACATCTGCTCTATACCCACATGTATTTAGAGCAATATCTCGCTATGTAGATTTTTGGAGTGAGTATGCAAGAGAAGAATTATTTTTTGATTTTCCAACAACCTGTTGTGCATTTCCATTTGCAAGGCAAGTATCAGTTATTAAGATTGATAAAATATTGGAACGATCGGATAAGGGAAAGAGAGGTGATACTGTTTTCGACAATGCCACGCTTGAGTGGTAAAATAACCGATCATAACATTTGCTATGTACGTTTGTGTTGATTAACGGTTGCTCAAGTTCTCGGTGATGTAACTCAAAGTAACCACGCT